GGTGGAGCATGAAAGTGTTCGGTCTCCCATTTTAAACAGCGTTTAATACAACGTATTAAACATCGTTTAAATCTAAACAACAAAAATACTTATAAATGTATAATCTGATAAAATTTACTAATATTATACAAACAATCAAATTAATAAAAATAATATAATAATCACAATATAAATCTGTTTTAAAGCCTAAACTGAAGTTGTTACCAATTATCAAATTTATTAAGTAATTATGGCAAATAAAAGAGATATAAAACAAAAATACTTATTAAATTCAAGCATTGACCCTCTAGGACGTTATGTTAATGCCAAGAAGGGAAGTCAAAAAACTTATGATTCTTATGAGGATTATTATTATAACTATCTTCCAGATGTAGATTTTGATCTAGAAGATATTCTTTCTGGAGAAGATTATAAAGAGATTTATCAAACCATAATTGATGATATTAAACAGAATTTCGACAAGTGGAAAATTCAACCAGAAGGAATTTTGACCGTAGTTAAACATAATTCTGGCAAAAAGCATTATAAAGAAGGATTTGACAAAGACAAATGGGAGGAGATTGAAAAGTATTTAAAACAATAAATAATATTGATGATATTTTTAACTATGTTATTTTATTAGATTTTATTTAGTAATTTTATTTTTTTTTGTATTGTTATATGTCAATATTTGGAAAATTTTGTATTAGTTTTCATAGGTTATTAGATTTGAAAAGTAAAATTGTTATGTGAGATGGTATAGTACGAATCACAATTAAAATATCAAACTAATAAAAATTAATAATTATTATAATATAAATAAGGAATTTTTTTAAAATTCTTCAACGGAATAAAAATGTTTCAAATTTTAATAATTTCAGCTATTATTTTATTTTTATATAAATTTTATAACATTTTCTCACTATATCTTTTTTATAAGAAACAAGGAATTGAAATTTTGGTATTTGATGATGTGAAAAAACATATATCTAAAGATCATGATTTTATTGCGGTTTTATCAGGATTATCAATTCAACTTTATAGGATGAATAAAAAATCTTGTGAAATGATAAATGGACAACATGGAATTAATATAGAAAGAAGAACTTTTGCACCATTCATTTTTCTAGGATTTAATTCTATTTCTTCTGCAACATCTCATGATCCATGTTTTAAATTACGTAAAAGAATATTAATATCTTCGATTAAAAATAATATTGAAAGATTACATCAAGTTTCTCATCAAGAAGTTACTAATTTAATTAAAAAATATAAATTAAAATCAAATTTAAATATATTGGAAATATTAAATGAATATGTTGAGAATGTCACTAGTGAATTCATGTGGGGTTATAATATTATATCAAAATATCATATTGATTTTTCAGATAAAGATTATAAATTAAAAAATTTATCTATTATACAGGCTTTAAATCAGGCACTTCATGATGTTTACACATATAAATATAGTAATTTATTATACATACCAATAACAAAAGAATCACGACGAATTTTAAATAATATTGCACAAATACGTAAGAGTTTTAAAGAAATGACACGAGATTTGATTGATAATTTTTCTGGAAAAAGTTTAATTAAAGATATGGTTGATAAGAATTTTCAATTAGAAGAAAAATTATATGATGATATTATTATAACAACATCATCAGGATTAAATATAGTTAAATTAATGATTATGTCTATTATTTGGCATTTATACGAGGAGAAAAATAGGAAATGGCGCAACATACTTTATGACGAAGTTAAAATATTAAATAAAGATGGCTTTGATTATACAAAATTAGCAAGTCTTTCAAATTTTAACGCGTTTATATCTGAGGTGATACGGTATGAATCATCGTTTTCATTTTTAAATAATTACACAATTAAAGATTTTGAAATGGTTATTGGTGAAAAAGTTTACAAATTTAAAAAAGGAACTTATATAACATCAAATGTTTATGCGATTCATCATAAAAAAGATTCTTTGTTAAAATTCGATCCTTCTAGGTTTTTAAATAAGAATGATGATTTATGTTTCATACCTTTTGGTATTGGTGGGCGTAGTTGTCCAGGAAAATTAATTGGTTTATCTATGGTGAAAATTTTTGTGGCTAATTTTTTGATTAATAATTTAGAATATGAGATTTTAACAAAAGATAAAGATAAACCAAATTTTGGATTACGAAGTACTTTTAGTTTTGATATTTATTCTAAAATTGAATAATTTATATTTATTATTAATTTTATTATAATTATTTATACAATAAATATATATTTTAAATTTTTTTAAACCAATTATTACAATCTAAACATAAATCTAATGTATGTTCTTCAAATTTAATATTATTAAACACAACTGAATATTTATCACAATCTTTTAAACATTTATCATTGAAACATTTAAAATTATCAGGATTTAAATGTTTAATAAAACGATCAACAAAAGTAAATTTTTTACATTTCATACATGTTTGTTTTAACCAAGAAT